AAGAGAGGTAGCGTAATCGAGGCAAAAGAAAGGGAGAATTGCGAGATGACTGCATGTAGGGTGGAGCAAGAGAGAAAGATGAAAGCTATCTCGAATAGATGGAAGAGAGAGAAAGAGAGAGAGAGAGAGAGAGAGAGAGAGAGAGAGGAAGGGAGAGGAGAGAGAAATATCAAGTGAGAATATGGCTGAACAAAGAAACGAAACGGCAAAGCGAGCGGTTCAGGAACACACAACGGAAAAGGAAGGTATAGCGTAGATGTGGAACAATGGAATTAGAGTGAGTTAGACCAGTTTATGCAGCTCCGACCGGTGATACGCTATTGAGGGCCGGTGAACACTGTGTCCGTTTTAATCAATTTTGCAAAAATATTCCCGCGGGCAGCCGCAACAGCTATTAGATTGAGTCTGATTTCCCAGAAGGTCAATCAATCCTCTAGTGCTCTAATACCCCTTCGATCAGCTGATCTGATTGAAAAAAACATTCTCGCTTGATTTTTGACAAATCGCACAGGTTTTGTTTTCTTGAACGGAATTTGAGACAAAGGAATTTTTTCTTGAAACAATTTCGAAATTTCGTTCATTGATTGTCGCGTATATTTGTCACTGCATGTTACTTATATTGATTTTTCGCTCTGTTAAACTTACACAAACACATAAATAATCGCCTCAAATTACACGTGCATTCATTATCAGTCTATCATTTGCCATTATATTGGCATTTGCAAATAATGTCGAACTGTACGATAATAGTTGTAATTAAAAAGATACGCGCACTTGAAAAGGATACGCTATTGCGCAATATATAATTTGCTGATATTTATTAATTAAAAACAATTATCTTTAGCAGAATTAAACGTAATACGATTGTCACCATTGTTACACAGTTTCCGATATATTGTACATAATATAAAAGCGCTTTAATACTCTTCTAAAAGTATTTTAATATAATGTAAACAAAACTGTAATACTCTCAAAACGATTTAGCTGTAGTTGACAAAGAGATACGTCGATATATTTTATACGTTTAAACTACGTGCAAAAAAAAATCTGTGTGTAATTCTTCATTAAAATGCATCTTTTATAATCGCAAAAACTAGCAATTTCAAAACTAATGTTTAAAATTTTTATATCCCGACGGCAATTTTTATTTCCCGGCAGAGGATTAACATTGTGAAGCATTGGTTCGCGTACATAGGCATTTTTATTACCACATGCAGATTTGTAACATTCCGCATTCATCCGAAACGATTTTTCGGCCGGGCAATTCGTCTCGCAAAAAGGGTCAAAGAGGCAAAATTGCTTTTTCACGAAAAAGCGCGCGGGCTTCGCATCATAATTAAATCCCGGAAAATTCGCGAAGTCGTACGGTTTCTTTCGCGTTTTCGGCTTGACACGGACGAAGGAGACAGAGAAGGAGAAACTTTGGCACCCAGCAGATGAAATTTTCTGGCATTTTGATCAAAGAGCTCGGCGGTAGTCGAGAACTGCAATGCGCGCGCGTTGGATATGCACTTTCCAAATGTCGGCTCTAACGAGACTCGTCGTAGTCAAGGCTACGTGTTTTGAATTTGAAGAAAAAACGATTGCGCGTCCCACCGTCGTCGGCCACCGTACCGTGTAAACTTTCTCTTCCTCTAAGGTGAGTCACAACCGTAAAACATTGAATTACTTTTCTCTCTCTGTGAGCAGCTTATTATATTTCATACACAAAAAGAAAATTATTTCGGAAGAATTACGCGCGTTAACGCAGATGAACATTTTTCCAAGTTTGTCTTTCTCTAAGTTACACACGTCTTATACCTATGTTTTAACAAGACTAATTAAAAATACACAAAATGTAAAACTATCAAGAACCAGGTTATCTACGTTAAAGTGTTTACGCGATGTGCATCCCGATGTTCCCGTAGTGTTGTTGCGAAACATAAAGTACGAAGGGAGATGGCGGTTGCGACATCGCGTCAGGTTCGACGATCTGAAAACGAGCAGCTGGAAAGATAAAACGATTCTCAGGCTGAACCACACGAAGCACAAGCCAAATACCTTTACAGCCCCGGTAGAAACAACAACGGACAATTGGGTGGGACGATCGAGGCCGGTTTCACTATCTCGTGAAATCGAGCTGTGTGTAGCTGTGCAACCGCGTACATTTCTCTCAAGCCGAAATGGAAACTATTTCCCGCACAGCTCCGATGGAAGAAATACCCGTGTAGCACAATAGTCTATTTTCGCGATCGTTAAAGAGACGGAAAATTCTCAGAGCGCACCGCAAACGGAGAGAGAAGCGGAGAATTTATTTTCAAATCGAAACCCACGACGAGAGCGATATCTCGATAAATTTTCGACAAGCGAGCTACGACGTGGTACGTGGGTTTTCGTCGAATAATGTGAGAAACGTACATAACGGAGGAAAAATTACCGTTTTATTCAATATCGCGTAAGATGTTGCGCGGCAAGGCATTCGCGAGGGCTCGTGAGAAGACGCTTATCGTTGAACAACGTGGTGCGAGACGTTAGAAACGACGCCCAGCGATCGGAAAACGTTTGCTTACACACGAACATTGGTGTCACTTTAAAGGTATTCTTAATAGCCAGTAGGTGAGTTCCGAAGTTGATGTAATCTCAATTTCCCGGTTCCTGCGTCTGATATATCAGTGATTTTCCACCTTTGCGTTATCGTCCGGAAAGTTCGCCGAGTCATGCGAACCGGTTCCGGAGCGGTTGGTTTCGTCTAATAACCGCCTTCTGCCCGACGCAAAGTGGGTCTTTGGTTGCGCGAGTAGAGTCTAATTGAAAACTTTGTACAAGGTGATCCGCGTTTGACCAGAAAGTAGACACGTTGTAAAAAAATATGTATCCTAACCCACTATTAACCTTTGTTATTCGATTTAATAAATTTCTAGTCGCACGGAAAGTTTTGTCACAAAAAGAATGCACAATTTATTTCTTGTTAATAACAAATAAATTTGGTATTTTTTCACTAAATAAGTTTTTTATTTCAAAAATATTAAAAATTGCCAAAATGAAGCTGTATCTTATGTCACAACATATAATTGTTAAAAATTAATTATTAAATTAATTATTAAAGTTAAAATGAGCTCCAAAATCAAGAATTCAACAAATTAAAATAAAATTAAGAATCTAAACCATAGGTCTCCACTTTTGAATTTTACACAAAACTGTGTTTTAGCTCCTTAAGTTTATTTTAATTTTAATTTTTTTTATCGCAAATAGGATTGAGGTTGTGTTAAAAAGTATCTTCTTAAATAATGTTAGATAGTATTTTATCTGAGAAAGTTTGAAACATCCTGTAGAAGCTATATCGGACGCTTTATGTAAAAGAAATATTATGTTACTGCAGAATCGGCGATTGGTTCCGTTTATCGCTCAAGGCTGTTCGTGCGAGACCTAATCGCGTGCTTGATGCAATTTTCTGACTAACGCAATGACATGCCTATCCGAGTATGAATACCGCTTTCAAGTAATTGCAAACTACGAGAGAAGCAGAGCAAGATGAGCTGCAATTCGAATGCATCGCTTCCCTCGTTAATTTAATTAGCAAGCAAGACCAATTTCCTATTTGTCATTACTTGCTCGAGAGTGAAAAGTTCGACGCGTCGAGCGACTGTCGATATTTTAATAACAAAACAAGCAGTTTTGTTTTATTTTTAATAACCAAGTCATTTATCGTTTTAAAAATAATTTTGAAACATCCTACATCTTTCATCGGTGTCTGTTTACATATGAAATGGTCATTATAAATTAATTAAATATTTCACACGCAATTCTACACGCAATTTGTTTGGCATTTCGTGAAATTTGGACATCTGTCTCGAACGCATAATTCTCTGATCGGTGAATAACGAGCAAAAACGAAACGAATACGATCGACAACTTTTAATGAAGTTCGAGAAAGATTCTCCACGATTTTTCATACATCTCTCGAAGCACATATATCCGTTTCACTTCAGAAAACTACATCGCTCGTTACGCCTGCCGATATGTTTGTTCGTGTGTAACGTTGATCGCCTGCAGGCTACGGTAGTGGCGCGTCGCATTCACCTCCCTGACGGGACAACTGATGCGTTTCCAATACGGTTGTCTAACAGCGATCTTCAATACTGGCAGGACAAACCTGCAGATCGCGCAAAGTATACCAAAGATAACGATTATGTGGCCTTTTTTCTTGGTTACAAATAAGAAACGTCTGCCTTATGCCTTCAAATTTGCGTGTGTGTTTTAAATGCATTAGTTTTATATAATGTATAAATTAAACTTAAAAAAGCAAATATATAATACGCTTAGAAATAAACATTTGAAACCAAATACATTCCAAAGACACACACACACAGCGTGTACTAACTTGATAACAGTTTCGCTATCTTTTAATAACAAGCACGAATAAAAAAATTACGATAAAAGATTAGAGCAAAAAATGAAAAAAGATTCATACGAGCGCGTGTGACTTTTTATCATTTACTCGTCGTAATGTTAACTAATGTAAATAAAAAGAATTTTCTAAATCTAAAAACTTTATCTATATCTATATTGTATAAATACTGCGGTATCACGAATAAACATAAAAATCTAATAGTGCGGAATTAGCTGGTTTCGCGCAAAACAGAATAAATTAAAGCAAAACATCGTGTGCAATGTCATGAAGAAAATTAAGCATTTTACCTTCACCCCAAAGAAAAAAAACACAACTAAAAAACGAAACTTCGCGGGGAACGTCTTTACGAGGCCAGCGCACGTTGTAACACGCTCTTTGTAATCCGGTTAACGAATAATTGAGGAAACTCTGTTTAGTAATGGATGGCAAGTTCCGACCGCTGGGAAAACACGGTCCAAGAATGAGGAAGAAAATTACAGGGATAAAAGGAACCAGTTGTCCAAGCGAAAGTAGAAGAAAAACGAGAAGACGGTTCTATTTAAATAGCGGCTACGCGCAACACCGTCGCGACCGTATTTGTGCAAAATTTGAATTTGTCTGTTTTTTTTACCTTATAATTTCCGAGGTTTTCGATGACACAAGGTAGACTCACATCTCTTCCCAGAGCCACCGTGACATTTGGTATCGGCTCGGCGAACATCGGCGGATCGGAAAGCGCTGCAACGAAAAATAGAAAATCGTCACTTAAAATGCATATCGCAAAATTCTGTTTCATTATGTTTATTAAATTTTAAATTAATTTTATGAATTTCCATCCGTGTTCCTATTAGTCCAGAATGTATGTTACATATTAGAGACATTCGTTTATCTAGGTAGCTCGAAATACATCTAGTGTGATATTTCATGTTTTGCGCGGCGCAAATTTATATTCGCCCGCTGCGAACTTATATTCAAGCCGGCGTATAAATATAGTAACGCTCGAAACAAAATTGATTTCGTTGATATTTTAGGATAGAAATATGTGTCATTTGACGAGAGACCGATAAAATTGCAAAATTGCGATTGATTAATTCTCGGAGAGGAAAAGTAAGAAATCGATCGCATTGACTATTGAAGGTTTCATGATCGAACAATCAAATTGTGATAACCGATAAAAGAGATTTATTCGACGACACATTAGCGAAGAAAAACGAAAAGTCCGCGGTTATCAAACTTCATAAAATCGCGTTCAAAACTCGGATTTCTTTCAGTCTTGAATATATTCGGGAGATATTTATGTTAAAATTGGATTGGTATTGTATTTTTATGCTGTCGATGTTCTTTCGCAATTTACATTATTTATTTAAAAAACAAACCACGTTCGACACAAATAATGTAATTTTAATTAATCTCCAATTTGTTGTGTTTTCAATTCTATCGAGAAATCGTTGCGTCGATCTGACGATATTACGTTTATTTAAAAAATAACAAAATGCTTATTAACATCATGTATGTTTTTCACATTCTTTTTTACCGCAACGAGTCACATTAATAAATCGCATTAATCTTATCAATGAATCACATTTTACGAAATTATAAATATGCATGCACTCGCGTGATATGTATATAAATAATCTGAATAAAACGCTACAAGAGAAAATATCACATAAATGAAAATATGTGTATTGATGATTCGTTGCACATGTACGTGTGTGTGTATATTTACGTATGCCTATTGCAATTTGATATCATCAGCGTAGCTATATTGTCAAATCGAAGTCACCACTCGGTTATTCCACTCTCGTACGAGGAAGTCAAAAAATGAGTCAATTTATGACAGCTACAAATAAAAGTTTTATTTCATATATCACGCACGTTAATAATTCCGCGTGCGAACACACCGCGCCATCGCGGAGCTTTCATGCATGAGTTTCGAAAAATATTTCGAAGCGCTTAGTTCAGTCATTTGCGCTCAAGTTTTTTGCGAATGTGCACACGCACTCGAAACATGACCAATTATCATGCAGACAGGAGCATCGCACAGGAATTTGAACTGAAATTTATATAACGACGACACTTCTCTCGTTTAAAGCTGAAACCAAAACGCGTATACACACACACGCGCGCGCGCATCGCGATATATACCGCGAGACCGAAAGTGCGCTTGCAGAATATTAAACGCACAATATTTTTGTCATTATTATTCGCGTTTTGCCGCACGGATCGGGATATTCAACCGACGTCACCGTATAATCCCTCATATTCTTTCACACTTTGTGTGCAGCCGCAAAACTCGCAAGGTATTTGTATTTTAAACAACGCGATATGACGCATCATACAACAAAATTTAAATAACGCCGCAAATCGTCCGGGTCAGAGAACAGAAAAGTTCCGCCAAACCGGTTGACAAATGTCACGCTCCTGACTAACGTTGTAAATAAACGCGTCAGCGTCGACGCTTTGGTATTCTGGTTAAAGAACACACATTCCCGTTGAAACGCACAAAATATAAATTCCGCATCACAAAACTAAGTTACGTTCACTTAAGTTAAACGCGCTCGTTGAAGGAAAAGAAAGAGACCCGTTAGAAGAAGTTAAAAACCGCGCGCACATACACATGTACACACACACGTGTCGTGATAAAATAATCGTTCACCACAACATCCTCTTCGGCGGTGAGGATAAAACACGCGTTGTCTGGTGCCGGCGTGGAGAAAATCGAAGGTGCTGAAAAGAAGAGAAAGGTAGATCGGCATCCGTGTCGATCGACGACTCTTTCAAAGAAGTTTCGGAGATTCGTAGGTGGTGCACTCGAGAGTGAAGTAGGAAGGCAGTTGGCTGGTTGCTCGACCGGAAGAGAGCAGCCGTCAATTCCGGTTCGAGGTCTTTGCGCTGACCGAAAGTCGCACTTCCACGTACGACATTTCGACAAATACAGTCTGCTATCTAATACTCCAATGTGAGTGAGATGCAGAAGATGTAATAAAAAGTCACATAAGCATGAAGATAGGTCAAAAATAAGATCGTATGAGTTTAATCTACGTGGAAGTAAGTGAGTCATGAAACTATTATTTACACGTAGCGGAATTAATATGTCATAATTTTAGTGTCTACCACCGAGTCGCGTTGTAGAAACTTAAATATTTGTTCAATTAATTCAGTAATTAATTAATTCGTACACTCTCTGGTTTAATTTGCAAATATATTCAGATTTATTGTGTAATAAGACCAAAATGTGGGTAAATTATTTTTTTCACCGTACCGCGCCGCAGTATATATATTTGCTGCGTGTAATTTGCATTGTTGTAAAAATGTAATTATTAATTATTTATTAAAAACTATTGTCACTGTGTGAATATCATAGGAGTGTGTTATTAATTTAAAAATTAATATACCACGTTTTATATCTAGAGAGAGAGAGAGAGAGAAACAGAGAGAGAAAATATATATCGTATGTTACATGTTACAAGCATTACATTTTGTGGTTACGAGAGACGAAAGAGAACGTTTTCAATTAACATTATTCATGTTTAAATCGGTATATAATGATACGACAGCTATTCAATAAATGTGCCATTAATATAACCATGCCAAAACGCCCACGCGCATACCTATCATTTTTTACGATAAAAATGATAACTACACAGTTTGTCCGGAAAGTTCCCGGACTA